ATTTCAATCATAAACTTTTCCCACAGACAAAACGGAAAAATAACCGTTTTATTTTACTTTAATAATATTAGTATTATAAAAATTGTTAATATTAATACCAATTATAAGTTCGAAATAAAAAACTATTACTATGAAATTTTCTATAAATAGTAAATAAACTAGAAATAATTTTTAGTGATTGTGCGATAATTTATTTATGGAGATCAAGGTGTGTATACACAGTTAGATGAAGGAATTCTTAGACGCTTCCAGACTTTCAATATTAGATTATTTGATCTTTTGAGTTGTGTGATAAAAAAATAATTCCTACGAACTTGGTGTAACCTGGGGCAGTGTTGTGCAATTGGAAAATTGTAACGCTATTGGAATGTTCCAATGTAGATCTTCAATTGATATTGACCAATAAAATTCTTGTGTGTCATTGTAATTGAAATTTCATTGGTTAACTTCATTGGAACCACATTTGGAATGTTCCAATTCCAATTGGAATAGAATGCTCCAATGAAATTTTATTGGAAGCATAAATGGCACAACACTGCCTGGGGGTTTAAATCACTTTATTACTTTTGGTTTTTGATTGCTCAATATTATGTAGCTTAGGTTCTCAAAAATAAATACATAAATTTTAGCCCAGGTTATAAAGCAATCTGTGATAAAAATTGGAAGAATTGTCAGTTTATGCAAGGAAATATTTTAGGACTTCACGAAGATGGTAAGGGCGTCAGAGATATCTCCAAGAAAATCCCCAAAAGTACAGTTTAAGGTAATGAATGATCTGCGATGAAGATTTGACTTTAGCCATTGACATTACTAAGGGTAGTTGGCCACAAAGGCTGTTTTGATGACTTTATTAAACTAAAAAAGGTCCTTGACGGAAGTAAGAACTTGTTTTTTACATTCAGGCAAATCGAAACATTCTATTCTGGCCCATATTATGTTTATTATTAAAGTTCAAGGTACAAGAGAATTCTGACTGTGATCACATAAAACAAATTTGGTAGGTGAAATTTCATTTTTCATTTCATCAATTGACATGACTGTACTGGTTTTGCGTGTTCTCACCATATCGCAAAAAAACGAAAAATTAATTATTACTGTATCATGTTAATTAGCTATTATTAGATACTCTAGTCACTTTTCAAAGAATATTTTCAACGCACTACGAGTTTCATCATATATAAAAGACTGGACACTCCTTACAACGAGCAAGTCTTCTAATAGCAAAATTGGAAATTCCTTGAATGGTGACTTTACAATGACGAACTCTTACAAGTCCTGTTTATTATCAAACACTGCCGATATAGAGAAAAATAAAGATTTTTTTAGTATATCATTGGTTACATACCTTGATTTTGACTAACTATTATTGTCTTTATTACCCAGAAATAAATAAGGTTTCCTGTTGCTCAGGCAATAGATCTTTAAAAATATTTATTAGATTATAATATACATTTCGCATATAAATAAAGTTAAGAATTTATTTTAAACACGAATACATATTACAATAGTAATAGTCGGCGGCATTTGTCTGCAGCCAAACGGGTAACCATATCAGGCAAGATTAGAGATGCGACATGCGCATGAATGAAAAAAAACATGCAACGTCCTATACATAATTCTATTCAAAAAATAAAAAAAAATGCGAATTTTTAATTTTTGCCAAGTTATTACTGGTTATATTATTGACAGTATTTTAAGAAATGACAAAATCAAGCTAGGTAGAATTGATAATTTCAGCTCCTGTTTCATTAGCTTGCTTCTAAAAGGAATTGATCCACTTTTTCTTTTATACATGATAAAAAGAGAAACACATTGACATCTGAATGTTTTTAAATTGGTGTATATTTGTTTTAATTACAAATTAAGATGTCGAAAGATATCAATAATTATAATATGGATATTACAATTGATGTGATAGAAATATGAGAGGCGAAAATGATAAAAATGATGATAATATTGAAATGATATTTAGATATTTGGATATATATATATACATATATTCTATAAAGAAAAGAAAATAAAATAAAAATAAAAATACAAATAAAAATAAAAATAAAAATAAAAATAAAAATACAAATAAAAATAAAAATAAAAATAAAAATAAAAATAAAAATAAAAAAAATAAAAATAAAAATAAAAAATGCGCACGAAAATTTTAAATTTAAGATCATCATAAAAATTTTTTTTTTATATAAAATTCCAAGGATAAAGAAAACTGATTTTACAATTTCCATTTGGTTGTCCACAACTGAGTTAAACTCAATTTTGGGTATGACAACAACCTTTTCACTTGGTACGTGAAGATTGTCCCACTTGATGGTTTTTTGAGCATTTCAAAGACGATTTGCAAAAATCATCTTTAAACATATGCAAATTCGAAAAATCACAAAATCGCGACATGTTCGAACAATAAATTTATTTTCAATGCAAAAATTATATTGATTACTGCAAATTTTTTTATAAGGAAAAAAACTTTTACTTATTCGACTTTAAAAAAAAACGGCGAATGAATTTTATTTAAATATGGGTCATCTCTAAATTTTTTAAGCCGTAAATCTGTAAGCCTTTTAAAAAAACTATCCATCAATCTGATAATGATCCACATTTTTTACGGATCTGATCTCCAGATTGATCATACTCATACTAATCCTAATACAGGTTCGCGTTACCACATTGAACAAAATCTCATGTTTTCTCTAAATTGGCCAATCAACAAAACTAACGGAATATATTAATATTACAGCGCCCTCTCTTATTAACTTTTGAAAAGGATACAGTCGAACCTCGTCATAACGGTCCTTGTTACAACGGATTCTCATTATACCGAACAAAAGTCTGACCCTTGTTTTTTCAATAACAACAAATAAAAAATTTCGTTATAACGAACCTATATAATAATAAGCCTTGTTGTTCCGTATAATGAACATTTAATGGGGATTAAAACAAGTTTCCCAATTCTAATGTCTCAACAAGAACCAAAAAAATTGTGTTCATCGCAAAAAATACGAGATTAGTTAAAACAACAAGAACCGAACAAAAAAATATTGATTTTGGGATTAGCAAAAGGCAAATTAGTAATATCTTAAAAAGTTCTAATGAGTGGCTTGATATTGATCCCAAATTCATATCAAGCAACATTAAAAGGTCATATCACTCACCTAATCAATTTATATAATTTTAAAAATTTAAACCAAGAAAAAATAGTTTCTTATTTATTAGTTAATGATAACGCTGTATTATATTAATATTATTTATATTTGTTTAATTAATTATAATAAAAATATAACGCGGTGATCGATAATTACTTTGATTACCAAACTCCTTTATATGTGAAATCGAAATTATGTGAAATCTATAATTAAAATTTTGGAGTGGGGTGTTTGGATATGAAGTTCTGATTGGCTAATTTGAATTTCACGTATTAGTATTAGTATTAGTATGTGAATTGCAAATTCAATTTTCACGCACAACAATATATTCGTTATAACGAAGTTCGACTTAAATATTTTTATATACATTAAATCTTTTTTTAATTCAATCATGTGGTTGGATATCAATTTCTTCACTATATTTTTGAATTGCTTCTTCAGATTTTGTCAAGTATAATTGATTCGTATTAACTGCTATTAAAAAAACCATCAATACCATAATTTTATGAATATTTGTTTTATATAAATAAAAAATTTCTGATGAAAAGGATAATATATATATATATATATATATATACCTGTTTGATCCGATGAAATTGTAGAAAATGTACATTTTGTTGATTGCGAGATTGATCTTTTTTTCTTTTTCTTATTAAATCCTCTTAATGTCGCAATCATAGCAGCTAAAGTTGTCCGTTCATCAATATTATACACCCATGACTTAGTTATTTTAGATATCAGAGGTTTATGTAAATTTTTTGGCAAACTTTCAAACCCTTTTTTATGTCTCAAATGTTCATATAAATTCTCAATTTCTATTTTCTCATATGGCAAAGCTCCTGTTGCATTAAATATTTCCCAAAGTAACAACCCCAAACTATAATAATCAGATTCAAATGTGCAATTGTGCTTTTCATTTCTTAAACGTTGTGGTTCATGCCATCTTTTCCTGACTTGATTGTCAATACTTTTTGGTAAACATGGTTTAACAGTTGTGTGCTTATTCAATGTATCTACACTGTATAAAAAATTGGAAATTTTTGGCTTTATAAATTCGCTCTCAAATCTATTTTTAAACAGATATATATTGCTGCTTCTCAAGTCTAAATGCAGAATATGTCTCTTATAATTTTTAAAAAAGAAATTGGTTGAGAATTAAAGAAATGTTTATATAATGAGAAAAAATAGAGTTATAAATAGCTTGTAAACCTACTTTATGTAGAAATTCAAGTCCAAAACATATATCTAATGACAAACTTATTTTGGCATCTAAAGCCAGTTTTTCATTTTCAGGCAAATTTTGGTTGTTTTTTAAATACTCGTACAAATTTCCATAGTTAGCATATTCATAATGAAGTATTGGTTTGAATTTGTCTACAGTGAACCCTAGAAATTTTAAAATATAATCTGAGTCATTCAAATGTTGTTCACTATACATATAAATTTCCTTCTCTATGCAATCTACATTATCTTCTTCATTGAAACATTTAGAATCTAACTCTTTTCCAAAAACTGGAATATTTCCTTTTAACCTTCTATTTTTTATCACTAAAATATCATTAAAGATTTTTTTATATTCCCCATCCTCATTATTGCCATCATAATTATGGACAAAGATACTGCTGATGGTATCCAAAGTATTTGAAATGAATTCATTTTCATTTTCTCCATTACATTCATTTTCTCCATTACATTCATTTTCTCCATTACATTCATTTTCTCCATTACATTCATTTTCCCCATTACATTCATTTTCTCCACCGTCATCTTCAAAAATTGTAGATGTTGTACGAATTATATACCATTCTTTTAAAGCACTATTCTTCATTAGTTTATTAGATCGAGAAATTTTATTTAAAGCCTTGGAACTTGAATCAAGTTTGTTTAAATTTTGTTCAATGCCTTTTCGATCATTAGTTTTCAAACATTTTATTAACCCAGAATAAAATTCATTCAATGCATTGGTTGCTTTAATTATTCTAAAAAAATATATTTATATCAGATATAATTAAAATTAAAATCAAAAGAGTAAATTTCAATTGGCAATAAATCAATTATATAAATACTTATTAACAACAGTTAGATCACTAAGACAATTAAATGTTCGACTCATAAGTTTGTTTGTTGATTTCACTTGTATATTTTTTTAAAAAAGAAAATGTACATAATTAAAAAAATAATTTTTTAGCAGAAATTAAATGATTAATTAAATTAAATGATTTTACATACCATAACAATATCGATAAATCACTGTTAAAAAATAGACATAACCAATAATATATTTATTTAGTATGGTTTTTAAGAGCCTTTTTTGATTGCCTTCAAGCCAATTCTGATAAAATTGTGCAAGAATTGTCAAATTTTCACGCATATCAAGTGTTTCTTTTTTAATATCATCAGTGCTAAAATGAATGCATTCAGATGATGATGCATTATTAAAAACATCTAGAAGAATGTCATGAACCAAACTTATTGATGAAACTGGGTTATTAATATCCATAGCTAATGATGATTCTCCAGAATTTGATCTTGAAATAGGTTGTGATGAAAATGGCACTTCTATTTGATCATCACTATAATATTCATAATTTGGGTAATTGCCATGATCATTGTAATTATTGTTGGATGAATGTGTTGAACTGTATGTTGGGGTGCGAGAAAGTTGAATATATGGGAGTGAAGAGGTTGAAGAGGTTGGAGAGGTTGGAAAGGCTGGAGAGGTTGGAGAGGTTGGAAAGGCTGGAGAGGTTGGAGAGGTTGGAAAGGCTGGAGAGGTTGGAGAGGTTGGAAAGGCTGGAGAGGTTGGAGGATATGAATGCATAGAGGATGGACGATGCAGATGCATAAGAGTTGGATTTCGAGAAAGTAGATTGGATGAATGTGGAGAGCGTGGAGATTGTGGTTCATCTTTAAGTGTATAATCATTATCATTTCGATGCTTATCACATAACCATATGACATTCTGATTTTTTTTATCTATGCATTGGACCAAGCCTCCAAAATTTTCAGATTTTTGTTTGCTTTTAATAAAACCTATGAAAAACAAAGATAATTATAATTTTAATTGTAATTAGTTATAATAAAAATAAGTATGTTTAGAAAGAGACAATTTTATGGATCTACTTACTTGCTAAAGCACGTATTCCAGAAGCATTTAAAACCTGACAATTACTTTCTCTATCATGTTCCAATGGAATTAAACCAGGATTAGTATCATCAATGATTTCTTTTACTCCAACACCAACTGTATCAATTATCTCTTGAAAATATTGAACAATTTCATCACTGTTGTCAACTTTTACATTAAATATTCCTGAAAGAATATTGCCTATTTCTTGTGGAAATAAATTACTGGTTACTGTACGTAATCCAAATACTAAGGCTTTAATACTAATAATGATTATTTATTTATTAGTCAATTTTAAAGAAATATATTTTTTGTAGTTAATTTAATTAAAATTTTTTACCATAATTGTATC